CAAACTTGTATATAATCTATTTTTTTAAAATACAAAACACATTTAAAATGTACTTAAAATTAAATAATTTTCTATTAAATTTTTTATCTGTTATATTTAAGTACTCAATATTATTTATAAAATATTTGTTAAAATTCGATATACATTGTATACATATATATATATATATATAATTTCAAAATATAGTTATTATTGATTTTCGATAGACGTTAATATTAAATTAAGTTTGAATTGTTTAGTTAATCCTATCGCACATATAATAAGGAGTTTTCCAGCTGTGGATAGGTTTGGAGTCAAATGCTTGATATGTTTTGTCTCTTTTTGGAAAACACACGGAAATCAAAAGTGGGGACGAGTTATATATGTTATGATTTGTGTTATGCACTGGGCTTACAATTGCCAACTTTGCTATACATCTGGACTAACAAAAAAAAAGTTTTACTCAATATTTATTAATATTTAACTCTATTTTTATCAATTGCACAATTGTTTGACTTTTAACACAATAAAAACATATAATGTTTTGATGATTTAGTGAGAGAGTGGATAAGAGCGACTGAGTGAGTGAGTGAGTGAGTGAGTGAGTGAGTGAGAGAGAGAGAGAGAGAGAGAGAGAGAGAGATCAAATCGGATCAGTATAGAGAATCAAATGAGTAGTAGTAGTAGTAGTACTGAGCTTTTGAAACATCCCTACGACTGCTTTTCCTCTAATTTTCTCTTCTCTATCCCTATAGTGAGCTCATCCAGACATGAATAAAGTGAGTGTTTTTCTATTGAGAGAGAGAGAGAGAGAGAGAGAGAGAGAGAGAGAGAGAGAGAGAGAGAGAGAGAGAGAGAGAGAGAGAGAGAGAGAGAGAGAGAGAGAGAGAGAGAGAGTTTAGTGAGTGATAGGGAGAGGAAGAGAGAGAATATTTAGAAAAAGTTATGCACTCCATAGTACTCAACTCCCGTATATTATAAACATATAGTACTGTATATCACAGATAGTTGTAAAAAAACTTTTATTTTTTTTGTTAATAAAAGTTGTGAATTGGAGTGAAAATTTGAGAGAGAATTTGCAATTATGTTCCGATCTATGACTGACTACCAGTTCTGCTATCAGTACTACCAGTAAAACATTAGTACCAATAAATGCTTCATATAATAGTTATAACAAAATTAATGAATCGTACGGTTAAATGATATACACGTTTGTAGTGATATATTAGATATACCGGCAGTAGGAGAATGAGTGATACGTTGAGAAAGTGACTGAATTTTTTGCGATCAAAAAGCAATTATAAATTAAGAGACAAAAAAGTCTTATCAAATCGTATTTCATATTTATATTTTAATTCTTAATAAAAACATATTCAGGAAATTAAATTGAGATTCAATTTCATTTACCCACTACTATGACAACCAAATAAAATTTAGTTTTTAATTATTTTTTATTTATAATATCTTTATTACAAATGATTTGAAGATTTTGCTTAATAAAAAATTTCTAATCTTAATTTTTCAGAATTTAAAAAAATCAAATTATTAATATTTATTAGAATTTTTAATTTTAATTATATATTATTAATCAATTAAAATTAATTCAAATAAATTTGTAAATATACGGTAGTTTAAACACTTTGTAGTTTTAAAGTCATAATATTTAGTTAACCGGGAATTGACTTTTAAGTGAGAGATTTAGTTAGGTATGAGTGTGTGTGTGATACGGCCTATAATAATATTTATCAGTCAATTTTAAGTGTTTTTTAGTTGTATTAGAAACACAGCCAATATTATAAAGCCGTGAAAGCTATTGCAATGATTTGTTATCCCCGTCTCTTAATATATCACACATGATATGTTGTCTAACAATTTATTTATATATTTATTACATTATAAGCTCATTTCAAATCACATTTATATAAAAGAAATAACAATAAAATTGCGGTATAATGTGGTACTAGTAGTGATGGTTTAGTGTTGCTAAGTTTGGAGAGTTAGTAGTCACTAGTGAGCACTGGTAGGTAAATTATTGGTATTATATTTGTCTGTGCCGTTAGTTATCAAATATTGTTGAGACAACTATCGATAGTTACAATACATGTGAATAGTTATAAAACAATACACGAGAGATATATTAAAAGTGATGCCATTTTTGCCATTTGATTGCTTTATGGTTTATGACATTATTGTATCATCTAATAAAGCATTGAACATCTAATAGTATAAATGTTATCAATATAATTAAGTGAAACAAAAAAAAGTAAATAATTTCAAAAAGATTTTACAATACTAAAACAATTGAAACTAAAATTATCTGCATTAATATTGTACGAGTTTTATTTTTAAGTTTATGATATTATTAGGTTATATCATTCAATAGTTAATTATTATTTGAATCACATAACAATCTCTCTCTCTCTCTCTCTCTCTCTCTCTCTCTCTCTCTCTCTCTCTCTCTTTCTATATATATATATATATATATATAATAAAAATTCAATCTATTAATTATTCAAAAAACATATATAAAATACTAACTAATAAATATTATATTTGATAATAGTTATTTATAGCAAAACTATATACCTGTATATATATGTAGATAAATGAAAAAAATAAACATTTGTGTGAAGATTTATATCACATGTGATTATTTATCATCGCTTTATTTGATGATAAAGTTTGGATACAGAGAGAGACCACACATAATATATTTGATATGTTTTTATATGTGAGTATTGTTTTGTTAGTTTTAGTTTCTCATAGTATAGTATTAAATACATCGACTATAATATGATACAGAATTTTAATGCAAACTTTATTTCAGTTCAGACAAAAAAACAACACAAAAAAATAAATGTTATTTTTTGAGATCAAATACTGTTGTGTTTATAGTGTTTCTCAACTTATATCTCATATAAATCTAAATAAACACAAAATCTGTGCACTTTTGTCGATGACTTTAATTTTTTTCAAAAAGTATAGTTTACTGTATATACAGTATATAATAAATTGTTGTTAAAATTCAAATCACATGAAAACCCCTACACTTTCTCATGGATTATAAAATGTGAAAATCAAAACCAGAAATATATATTTTTGATTTTCTTTTAAATAAATATAACATTTAGAGGAACTCTATTGTTATTATAAATTTTCAATATTAAAATTACAAAATATAATTTGTCTATTAATTTTCATATTATGTTACTAATATCAACAAAAATACTAAATAAATTTATTTGGTCTGATAAATAATTATTGTGAACAATACAATATATTGTAATACAATAGCATACATTCATTTATAGGACAATTAAATAACAAAACAAATAAATAATAATTAAATAAGTTGTTTTACATTAGAAAAAATAATTAATTATCATAATATAAAGTTGACCTGTTTGTACAACTATACAAATTACTGTATATGATTACAGTATTACTTGTAAATAAGTTAATAAATACAATATCAAAAACATAGATTACTGTATAATGATAAATGTTGAAAAAATTAAATATAACTATTGATTATTTTAAATTAATAAATATATATAAAATGTATATTCAATATAATGTCAATCAGTAATTATTAAAGTTGTTGTCGACATCGTATATATTCATAATATTGAATATTTTATTATTGCCCTTAAGATTCTTATGTTAAGATTATGCGTTCACACAATCTATTGATTGGATTTAATGGCAAAGTAGAGACATCTATTACACAGTTTATATACAGGGTTTATAAATTATATAGAGTTTATATACAAGGTTTATATAAAAGTTAATATATTTATTTATAATCAATAAACTAGTAATAATGTGTACGATTGGTCATCGTTTCGCTGATACCACCGATCAGAGTTGATCACCACATATGCACTAATTTATGGGATATCAGTGCTGTAAGCGATACGGGAGGTCGGAATGGTGTGATGGAGTGAATGGAGTGAACATATGCTATACAGTAGTGTCAACTTTTTATTGATTAATTCACATATATTGTAATTTATTTAAATATTTAAAATAATTAAATGTTGGCAAAGCTTTATATATTTTTAAAACATAAGACATTTAATTATTTTCAATATTTTAAAAAATGTTTAAATATGTTTTCATCAAAAAGTAAGCAAAACTTGAATGTATTTTAGTTAATATTATTATTAATATAAAAGAATGCAATATAATTATATGCAAATTATAGAAAATATAATATAATACAATAAATTGTTAATTAAAACTTTTATTTATTATTTTGATATATTTACCGATATATTAAAACAATATGTGATGATTTATATAAAATTATTATTAGTGTAAAATGATATAAATATTAAAGTTATTTAAAAACAATTAATATATCTTTGTTCATATAAACCTTTCCTCTAATAAATAACTTTACAAATTAATAATAAATATATTGCAAAAATAACTAAAATTAGATCAACAAATTTTGTGAATATACTTAATATATGATACTATATTTACTGTATATGTAATTTGTATCATAAATTATAAAAATAATAATATTTGTGCAAATATATATATAATAAGATATATCTTTTATATAAATATATTATATATAGATATTTTTTATAAATTTTATAATTAATAAAACAATTAGAGAGCTTTAATATTTATACTGTATGTGTGTTATTTGATTTCACAGAATGTATAATATATTATAACAACTATTAAATATTGCCATTTATTTGTATTATGTGTCACATAATATAATATTGCGTTCAATATTACACTATTAAAATATTGTACTCATCTTTTAGGATATGTTTCAGACAGTATATTAATAAATGTGATCATGGTCATTTACATACAATAATTTACATGGTCTTAATTAATACCATAGTATCAAGTGATATAAGTTTATATAATTGTTTAAAGGATGTAAATTCACTTAATATATCAAATTATTATGTTTTCTTTAATTAAACCTTAAAAATATTTATAAAACAAATTTATAAAATATAAAATATTATAAAAACATATATAAAAGTGTATATAAAAATGTATGTTTTGAGGTATTATAATTAGATTGATATCTCACGTAAACCTAATAAATTTGATACTCAACACAATACTTAATAGGACGGCAATGAAATTCAATTGTGAAGTCAACACTTGTATGGCTCCCGAAGTGAACTGTAGGCCAACATTACAAGCGGGCGGACAGACAACGTTGACCGTCTCAACTAATTCAATCTCCTTTTCAATAAAACCTAATTTATTGACCGCACGGCACATGTAATAACCGTATTGTCTTTTCTCAATTCGTTTGACACGAAGTGTTGTATCAGTGAACTCATCACTTCTGGCAAATATGGAGATCTGGTAGTGTTGGTTGTCATTCAAAATTTGGCCATCTTTTAGCCAAATAACACTTGGACTCGGAAACGCTTCAATGTGACAGTGCAAGTCAGCGTCGTATTGCAATGCCTGACCAGTTTGTGGCCGAGCTATTGACACATACGGCGGAAATTCCACTTCAACCCCAATATGTCTTCGGGCACCACTTTATACAACAAATATTTGTAAAAATTTAGTTAATAAATAGTTGTAATAATTATAGTTATAGTTTAATAAAAATTGAATTACCTGCTAACTCCATTATCGGCTACACAATAATAAGTGCCTCTATGATCCTTGGTTATATTTCCCAAATTCAATTTGGTTCCCATATAATAAGCCATACCATTGGGTAACAGTTCATTTTGTTCGCGACGCCAACTAATTTTAGGGGGCGGGTAACCTATACCACACACACACACCCATTCAAATCATATCAATCATTAATTAAATCGACAATTTAATGTCATAATAATTACCGGTAGCATAACATTGAAGTGTGACATTTGCGCCAACATATGTTATCACACTTTAAAAAATAAATAATAATTGATAAATAAAATGTTTTTATTATGTTTATAGGTTGTCATACCTTCGGGTGCTATTATCACTGATAACGGGAGGGATTTGTATAAATACTTGAACATCGGCTGTCACCTATTAATTAGTTTACATATATCAGAGTATATAAAACTAATGATAATGCAATAGTAACCGTACTTTACTTGATATACCAGTGGTAATCTCGCACCTGTACTCTCCTGCATCTATCTCTTGTACTTTTGATATAACCAATGTATAGATCTGTTCCCTTTCATTATAGTTAACTGAATACCGATTCTCGGGAATGATGATCGTAGACCCGCGAGATATAAATAGATGGTTATTGGGATTGTCTTTATTTACTTTAGTCCAAACAACCGGATAATCTTTAGCGTACTGTACCTGACATAACATATCAAGTGTGTCACCAATACTGACCACACGTTCTTTGCTTATGAAAGATATGGTCGGGTTTTGTTGGCATTGAAGTAATGGTATTAATATTAAACAAATTACAGACAATTGATTTAAAATTGATATAAATTTCATTGTTTTTTAAGTTGCTTTAAATTCTAGCTTTAAATTATATATTAAACTTTTTTGAAAAGTTTTTATTAAACATATTGTATTTTTAAAAAACTGATTTAAAGATATCAAACAAATTAATCACAAATTGTTTACATATATATATCTATAACATATACACACCCAACACATACCTGACTATGCATACCATCGATACGTAACACACCTGACTATACTATATAAGCCCTGTATTAATATATATAGTTATATAACAATTCATATCATACCTCAACTCAGGTATTAAAAGCACAGGTAGTTATCAAAACGTTATTCATGTATAATGTAGTAAACGTAATGTTTGGCTAATATTAATAATACAGTAGTCGTGTGTTTGGCAGTGAAGTGACTGAAAGACAAACAGACAGACAGACAGTCAGTGAAGACAACACAACACGTGAGTCATTGTAACCATTGTTTGACCACTTCTTCACTAATTGTGACCAAAGTGTCGATCACTGAACCAAATGGACGAAACAGCCGACACTAAGCCTGTCATCGATCCGGAAGTGGATTCAGGTGTGACTCATACTAAAGGAGACGATCAGCCGAAAGACGAGACGTTGACCGTTGCCGCCGATAAATCGGAACAATCATCTGTGGCTAATGAAGACAGTGAAGCCAACATCAGTGATACACCGATGGACACGGAGTCTACTGAGTTAAAGACTGAGCTTAAACCAGTCGAAGAAACTGAATCACAAGTGGTTGCACCTGTAGATGAACCGGCAGAACCAGCCGTAGAGCCGGTTCCAGAAGTGGCACTTAGATCGCCATCGGAACCCGAAAAACCAGTGTCACCGGCACCGGCTGTTCAGTCGGCGACTCCACCGCACACACAGAGCTCTAAGAAGCCCAAAGTGGACTTAGCTTCGGTACCGGTGCGCCAGTACTTAGACACGACTGTTGTCCCCATCCTATTGCAGGGTCTGTCAACTGTGGCCAGAGAGAGACCATCAAAACCAGTGGCATATTTGGCACAGTTTTTGTCGGACAGGGCTCAAGAATATGACGAGTAATTGGACGACAAATTAAACCCTCATTTCATTTATGATCTAAACTATTGTTTCTATAATTTGATAACTATTTGTCTAATTATAAGTTTAAATTGAATTCAGTATTTAAAATCATTTTCAAATCATTACAAATTGTCAAACACTTGAATTGTTTAATACATTTGAAACTCATTAATCATACGATTATCTGTTAATTTTATTATACTCTTTGATTATTAATATATTTCTGTATTTTTCTAATAATGAGATTAATTTATACTTTACAATAAAGTTTTTGATATACTTTTTTATTAATTTTTAAACAAATTTTATATATTATATTTACTTTTATTATGTTTTGAAGTTTGCTATTTTTATTAGTCTATTTTTAAAACTCGTTATTATTATTTATCTAATTTAATATTTGATAAAAATTTTATACAGTATATTTGCACTATTATACTGTATAACATATTTCATAAATTGATAATTTTATACAAATTAGTAAAATAATTATCTTTTGATAAATAGCAATTTAATGCAAATTTTAACTATATGTTTATAATTATATTATTAAATTTTATCATATATAACCAACTTAAAGTAGTCAACAATATTTGTTAACATTATAGCAATTTGTAGTTTATATAAATCAATGAAAGTTTTCTATCGTTTATTTGAAATTATTGTTACAAATTACAGAGTATACAAACATTTGTTTAATGCATTCAATTTTCTTTAAAAAATGACATTCAATATAACTTTTGTTAAACTAAAATAAAATCATACAAATAATGGTATTGATAATTGAAAATTTGAAATGCAATTTGTTTTAAATAATAACTTCACAAAATTGTTGAAAAATTACAAAAATAATGAACAAAAATTAAAAAGAAAAAAAGAAATACTATTGATATTTTTTATTAAGTTAATATTATATAGTTGTCTAAAATTGTAAGTAACAATGATATATATATATATATATATATACAGTGTACTATACAATGTATAAAATGTATATATATATTATACAGGTTAATAATTGTATATAATTATTATTAAACAATTTTTATTAAATTAAGGTTAGTAAATAATATTTGTGATTTTATTTTAATTTATACCGTAAAGCATTTTGAGGTTTATATTTGGTTTAAGCAATTAATTATTTAATTCGAGAGAAATTATTATCATTATTTAAAAATAAAATTGATGAAAGCTATAGTAAAACTATAACTAAAACAATGTATTTGCSGTCCAAACAAACAAATTTTAAATAAAAGGACAAAACGGTTATAAAATTAACTTTTTTATTTGTGATAACCCTTTGGGCAGTATTGTGCTCCCATTTTCATTGTTATCTACGCTATTATAATATTAATATATAAAATTGCAAAAATTAGATTATTAAATATACAAAAAAAAATTTAATTAATAATTTCGATGGATATCCCTTTCCCTATCCAACGGCGATACTTTCATATTTTCACTGATCACTTGGCGAGCTTTGGATATATATATAATATATATATATATATATATAATAGATTTAATAGACAATAAAAGAATTTCAATTTAATAATTTGTAATTAAATTACAGTATTATATAAACAAACCTCTTTGAAAAATAACATCATTTTTGGTGACGGGAACCGTTACAACAGTACTCAGACTGGCATTACTATCATCACAATTATTACTATAAACACCAACCCCTAAGACATATATGAGACCTCCAACAATGGCACCGATATGTGGTGCTACCAGACCTGCGGACCACCAATACTGACCTTCCAATGGCCTGTTGTAAGGGTTATTCGTGTTTTAAAAATTATTAATTTATTATATTATATTATAAGACAATTTAATTGATAACTACTAAATAACATACTTGAAAACGTCGAGTCCATAGCCGGCTAGTGCTGTGAACACTCTCGGGGCTAAATCACGGGCTATAAAGTAAAATCATGTAATAATTAGTAACAAAAAATAATAATTATTTATTTTATACATTTGTTTTATTTTTAAACTTTTAAATGTTAAGCTTGTTTTATTATATATAAAACTATATGACATAAATTAATATTTCTTATTTTAAATTCAACTTTTTTTATTTTATCAATGGGTCAGTAAATATACACATTTATTGCTATATATTCAAGAACATTAATTTGATACAGTATTATGATAATATAGTACTGTATGTGAATAAATTACTAATTAGTAATTATCAAAAATATCTAATTAACTCCACAAAATAAAACTTATAACTTTTACGACTAAAACTTAATTTATTAATGCTTTAAAATAACCTACCAAACTAATTAAAAATTATTTTAAAATATAGTACATATGATGTTCAAATAGTTAATAAAATAATACTAAAATTTAAAAAAATTAGTTTATTGCTTGATTTACTACACAATACTGTACATGTATATCATAAAAATAGAATTTATGTGAGATGACCTAGACTATATTGAAATAATTACACACAGTATTAATTACATTAATTTATCTAAACATTAATTTTTACATTTCCTGAATTGTCCGATACATCAGACATTTCGCTTTTAGTTTAATGGCACAAAATTTTTAATATATTATTTATCATATTATTTACAATATAAAAATTTATGAGTTACTTATTGATGATGTTTACTATATCGTCTAATTATCTTTTATTTTAAATTTCACGTTTATGTAAGCTTAACTTATTTAACTAAACAATTATAGTTTGTTTTTACATTTCATTGTTATAATTTACTTTAAGTTGCAATACTATAATCAATTTTTATGATATCTTTTTAGTAAATATACTGTAGTAATTATTATAAATCTAATTGAGAACAATTTGTTTCTTATAATAAAATGATAAACAAAAATTATGAATTTATAAAAATTATTTTTGTTATTAATGTAGTTTAGACATTGTCTGCATTTAATATTTTAGCTATAAATAAAATAAATTATAATTAAAAATAAAATGATTTTAGATATATCATGATTTTCATGATTCATATTTTTTAAATTAAAAAAAGAAACAAAAATAAGATATACTAAATATATTAGGAATAAATGTTTACTATCAGGTTTTGTTTATTTATTTTTGTCAGCATTTTACAAATATGCAAATAAGTGTATATATATAATATGTTAGCACAGATACCTAATAATTTACAAAATTATCCCATATATTATAAACACTTCAATATATAATTTATATATATAAATTATATTTTATGTATTTATTTATTAATATGTAATTGATAATAACACTGTGGATGAGTAAAATTCAAAACTGTGTTAATTGATTTTCATTTTTATAAATTACTTTATATTAATTTGTTAGTAAACTAAATATGAACTTATAAACTATTTAGTATTTGTTATAATTATAATAATTGTTTATTTAATTAATAAGATACTATTAATAGGATAACTATTTAAATACTTGTAGATTATAGAGCATTATGAGAAAAATTTTATAATCAAATTAAACTTATAATATATTTTATGCAACGATTCAATTTTGATAATTGAAATAATTTTTATGACTTTTAATAGATTATTAAGAAAATATTTTAAAGCTATTGAATATACAATTATAGTCAACTAAATCATTCATTTAAATAGTTAAATGTTATTTTACTAAATATTATATAAATTAGAATAATTATCAATTGAATAATATAATTATAATAAACTAATTATTAATACAAACCTGGATTCAATGTAGCGCCACAATTAAGACCATAGGATATGATAAGCACACAGACTACCAGTGCTATACTGAGTGGTTGTAAAGCACGAGGAGTATTGATGCCCTTTTCATCAGTAATGGCCAGTATGGCTATCATTAAGATGGCGCACGAAAATATCTGATCGGCAAACACTTGAGTTATAGTCAGATATGATTGAGGATATGTAGCGTATATTCCGGCTGTTAGGCTAATCTTATCAAACGTTGTATTAGTATTTTCAGCCAATTTCATGAACTCATTCTCATATTCTTGAATTCCCTGACCATATATACCATAGACTATAGCGGCGCCCAAAAATGCACCGATATATTGGGCTTTCATTAATTAAAAGCATTCAACAAAAATCAAATTTTTTTAATAATTAATGATATTTTTAATAATTTCTATTAAATAAATAATTTTTATAAAATTACCAGGTAAATAATAAACAACTTTATTCCATTTGCATTTTTTAATAAAACATAATGCAATAGTGACGGCTGGATTTAAATGAGCACCTATGTTAAACATATATAATTAATATATATATATATATATATATATATATATATATATATATATATACAATAAAAAACTTATAAAACTATAGTATAAATAATGATAATACATTAATATAACTAAGTTAACTAATAAAAAACACATTATTATTATTGTTACCTGAAATAGGTATTGCAATGGCAGCACCTATAAAGACACCCAAACCAAATCCCAAACCTATTGATATATCACTCGATCCCTTTAATACATTAGATGCAACTGCACCGCAACCTAATGTCTAATTAATAAAATGCATACATTTATTAAATTCATTAAAATAATTAATTAGTTTWTTAATTAACATAATTAATAAAACTTACAATTATTATCAAAGTTCCCAAACATTCAGCAAAAAATTCTTTAAGTTGTTTATTCATTGTTAATAATAGTAAAAATATTCTGTATTAATAAGTTTGTCAAAAAATCAATCAATTATAATCACTTTCAAAAACTATTGATAAAAAAATGTCAAAACTAATTATTAAGTATAAAATCTTTTATTATAAAATAACTATTTAGTAGATACTAAATAAGTATTTTCGATATAATAAAAAACAAATATTACTTTTATGCAAATTAGTCTTTAAAATTCACTGAAAAATTATCAAGATAAAAATATTTACTGTTATTCACATATTTCATATGTTAAAAAGCAAACACAAATTTTTAAATAGAGTGAATAAATGATTTAACGGTTAAAATATTAAACTAATTTAAGATTTAAAGTTTATAAAAGCTTTTTATATAAAATAATTAAAAAATTTTCAGAAAATTAAAGTTAAACTTTTGGCGGACAACAAATCAGAGGCTAATGAGTGGCTGAACTCACTTCAAGAGATAAGTAATGAGAGAAGTAGTAGTAGTAGTAGTGTTTCATTGCATTGAAAATTAATTTTATTTTATTTTTGAGCACCACTTTGGGTGCAAACCATTCACAAGAAAGAGAACAGTCGTCTCAGTTAAATCTGCCGTTCCTTTCGGCCAAACAAGTCGTCCCTTTAAATCCTATTTAGAGTTATTTCACCCCCTAATCGATGCCATTTTCTTCCGGGCCTTTTCTCACTATATCTCTAACAACAACAACCAAATTGATACAATCGGCTCTCGTTTTTTAACGATAACATAAAGTAAATTCACAAAAATAACTATTTTATTAAAAAAAAACTTGATTTCAATTCATTATTAAGGTTATACACAATAACAACATCAACACAAACAAGTAAAAAGTTGTTTTATTATTGTATATAAACACTAAACACTGTCACAGTTTTTATTATATTTATATTTTATTTTTTAGATTAGGATAAATACTATATTTTTTATTAAAATATTTTCTTGTTTTCTATTTAACTATATTTCAATATTTAATTTTTATTTGTGTTTTTAATATAAAATCTAAATCTAAAAAATTCTATAATAATATGTGATTTATTTATAAAAATAAATTAGTTTATTGWTCAATATTTGTAAAAATAGCTTATATCATCAATGTCAGTTTGACATATTTATTGTATTTTATCCACTTATTAAATTGTTTAATTAAATTTTATTAATTATTGTTTAATACTGTATATGTTTATTATATGTACAACACATCAAATACAAAGTTTATATTTGTGGCACGTGTTTAACAAACACTAGTATTTTACAATAAAATTATTTATATTTATTCATTTATATTTAAAAGTCTTTTAAAAACTTAAAAATTAAATTTAATGTTGAGAAATTTATTAATTTATAAACTAATTATGATTAATGAATAAAAATTAATTAGTTTATTTTCAATGTATTAAAAATTATTTATTTCTATTATATTTCTAATACAATTATATAATTTAATAACATAGCCTATTAAATATTTTTTCATTTTTTATAAGTAAAATTAACTAATAAATAAAATCAGGACAAATTGAAAATAATCGTTGAGTTTTATGACTATTTTATTTTTATTAATTATTATAAAAATTTTAAAATWCGTTAATTGCTCTAAATTTATATTGATAATAAAATTTTATATATTTATATAATTACATAAAAAAWTATTTTTAAACAATATATTTTGCAAGCCTTTTTAAAATATTAASATTTGCTAAACAAATATTATTAATAATAAAGACATTAAAATTGGGAGCATTGTTAAAATTATCATTGAACTAAAATTTATTATCATAAAAATAAATTATTTATTTAATGCAATAATAAAAATAAAATATATATTGTATAATATAAACGAGATATGTATAGCATTTTGCATTTATTTAAACTTTACAATTATTCAACAAATATAGCAATTCATACAATATTAGATTTTATTAAATTAATGTTTCATGTGTAAATTTTAAAATATTAAAAAAATAAATATTGAACTGAGAAATTAAATAAGCACAATTTAATATAAAATAAAATATTAATAAAAATGGTAATAATTGTAAAATATAGATTTGAGATAAATAATAATAATCATAATAATATTTTAAACTTTTAAGTTTTGTAACAAATTATAGAGTTTTAATAAAGATTTTATATTATGTAACTTTATTGTTATAATAATAATAATAATAATTTTGATTTGTTAAAGAATTATATTTGCCATTATTTTTTAATATATATTAATTTATGTATTTTTAATATTTTTATATATGATAATTCAAATAGATATGACACAAATATTTTAAGGTCAAAAATGTTTAAATCTATTTTATCAGTATATAGTATAATAAGTTATTGAAAATAATAATTAAATATTCACTAAATGAAAACAACTCATCACTACATTATTAGAAACAACTTTATTTATATATAAGACTGAATATCACTCAAAGTCATCATTGATTCATTGATAGACAATATTTGATTTTTTGCAAATGTTTTATTAATAAATACCGTATAAATAACAAGTTGATAATGCTAGAAAGCATTTCCATACAAACTCATTATCCAAATTATATAATAAATTATAATTTAATTTTATAAATTGCGGTATCAAATGACTCGGTATAACAAAATAAACTCAACATAGTCATTTTTTAAATGTTTAAGTTAAATTAAGTTTTAAACTTTTAAAAATTATCCGTCATTTTAATAATTTTTTTATTTTATTTTGTTGCTTAAACTAAATCTAAATTAATAAATATAAAAAAATTTATAAAATTATTAAATTAGCCATTTCTCAATGTTATGGGAGAGAGAAAAATTTATATGAAGATCGCCTATACTTTATTTTTTATGCTTTACACAAATCTTAACTTAAAAAACTAATATAATTTTTTTACTTTTGCCGCCATTTTCTTTATGTTCTTAAGAGATATCAAAATTTCAATGCTGATCCCGTATACCTTATTTTGTATATGTATTATATAAATCTGAAGTCAAAATTTCAATATTAAAAAATGGGACAGACAGACAAAAAGAATTCTGATTTTAAAAATTTCATGAGTTCGTGAAAAATTATACGTATAATACATTCAGTATAATATAATCTATTATTATTAATATTATTGTTGTTGTTGTTGTATATAACTAAATACTGTATTTTCTAATTATTTATATCTCATAATATAAGTTAATAATAAATTTTAATAAATAATAATTTTTTTAGACACCATACAGAAAAATCGTCAATAATATGAAATTCAATAGATAAAGAAAGTTATCAATAAAATTTGATTTTTATAGTAGTATATAGAAAATAGTCTGTTTATTACGTATTATAAGGACATCTGAATAAATAGTTTACAATAAAAGTTAAACATTACATTAATTAAGTAAATGTTGGGATATTAACTAAATAAAAATAGTATGTAAATACAATATACTGTATATAATTTATATAATTTAAAAGTTTATTTCTATATATAGAAGTTTATCTATTTGTATAATGAGTGCTAAAAACAGATTTTATTATGAGTTCCACTTAAGGACTGCTTTTATACACAAAAAGAGAAGTCAATAATCTTTCAGTTTTATATGTAGTTTTCATTTGTATAAAACATTTTGCTTTCAATATATATATATATATTTCAATACTTTCTTTCAATTTGCTAAAAAATTGTTATCTTATTGTTATTGTATAATTTACTCTCATACTTTTTTTTATAAAACTACTTTATTTATATATATATATATATATAAGTTTGTAAATTTAAAAATAAAAATAACTTATTATTTTTTAATAAAGATTTTACAAAGAATTTTTTGTTGTAAAATATTATTTTCATAAATGTATTGTAAATCATTTATTTTGTAGTTTTACAGTGAATACAATTGTGAATAGTTTTATAAAAATATTATTTTATAATTGAAAAATAGTTTTTATATATTTATATCTTATATCAACATTTTAATAACTAACAAATAAACAAAATTGGGAAATAAAATGCTAATTATCTACTCTACTGTACTCATATAAATTCATTAGCATTGTATTTATTGATATACCTGTAGATATACAATACAAATATCAAAGTGTTTTATCAAAAACTATTATCTAAATACATAATAAATAAGGAAATCTTTATAATTTACAAAAATATTTATTAAATTTTGCAATTTTACTTAATAGATAACATACTTTAATTAATATTGTAATTTTTAATTACTTATTGTCAGGAAGTAATAAGATATGACGGAAAGTGATATCTATTAATATAAGAAAATAATTTTTTCTGTATTAATTAGTATATATTTTTAATTAAATATACAGCACTGTAATGTAAAATAAGATAAATAATACTTAAATAAATATTAAAAATTATTTACAATAGTTACAGTTAGTTAAATAATAAAAAATTAATTCCACTTAAAAATAAGACACAAAATAGATAGTAATATAAATATCTTAAAAGAATTGTTGTAAAGTTAATACTATTTTTATTAAGTTTAAACAATAGTGTAATAATATTAGTAATAATAATGTAATGTATTAAATAATAAATAAAAAACGATAACACAATTAATATCAACAAATGACAAGCATATCATTCCAAGTGTTTCACAAATTAAAGTTTTTTATTGTTGTTATTAATACATACTATTAAATATAACGGTGTTATTATTATTACTATATTATTATTGTTATTGTTATTGTTATCTAAGCTTAACCTTGATTTTGATGCCCGATATATACTTAACAAATATAACCATAAGTTTATTTGCCGTTTGTATCGTTCATTAGACTTCTATCATGTTTTTGGCACTAATTTTCTCATTTGTCTCATCACTTCTTGTTTGCCAAAAAATACAAGTTGTTTAGTAAGTTAAGGCACTCATGTGAGTCACTTTGATAATCATTGATTTATTTAGGCATTGAGTGAGTGAGTGAGTGAGTGAGTGAGTGAGTGAGTGAGTGAGTGAGTGAGTGAGTGAGTGAGTGAGTGAGTGAGTGAGAGAGAGAGAGAGAGAGAGAGAGAGAGAGAGAGAGAGAGAGAGAAACTGGTATATGAGTGAAGAAACTTTTTGTAAGTCGTAATGCAATAACAATACTATTAATAAGTATTTTTAGTGAATTTATATAATAATTATATAACAACACAACATATGTTTAGTTTATATATGAAAAAAGTGGAAGTTTTTAAAAGCAACAAAAAACAAGACAAAACATATAAATTTATATATGATTGAGATTTTCATACTATAACTTGTTTGTAATGAAGGTTAGTGGGTCTTCAGGCATACTCTCATACTATTGTGAGCACTTGGATATCAACTATTTTGCCAAAACTCCTGTCTCTTTCTCTATGTTTCGGTAAAACAGTAGGGAATTGTTAATTACTTGTTTGGTCAGACACTTCGTTATTCTAAAACTAAACTAAAAACACAACAATTATTTGAATGTGTTTTTAGAAAAGTGTAGTTTTTTTATCAAACATAACTGCTGTTATAGTTTGCAATTGTTTTGTTTGTATCTTTAAAAAATCATTTTATAATATCAAGGATATAGTAAAAAGTTGATTACACTTTTGAAATTATATTAAAGTTTAATTATGGATTCGGTAAATATGACCCACGAGTTGGCCATTCAGGCAAATGAGACGTTAAAAGAATTGCTTGAGTTCGAGGACGCCATCGAAATGGTGAACATGTCGTCGCCGTCGGACACGATCTTCGCCGCCCTCGAGTTCTCCAAAATGTTTCATTACGTGATGGCTGTGTTGGGTATCATCGGTAACCTATTGATAATAGCCATTTACATTAAGTTTGCTCGCATCCGAACCGTCACCATTACCTACATCTTTAATATTGCCATCTCTGACCTGTTATATGTCATAACGGTTCCAGTATTTCTTATATCAATTTGGAACAACTCGTGGCCTTTCGGTGACCTTATGTGTCGTTTGTTGCTATCGAAAGGAGCTGTGCATCGGTTCGCCAGCTCGTTGTTCCTGTTGGTAGTGGTTGGAGACACCTATCTGTCCATTTTGAAGCCTACGCTAAGCCATACGCTATACAAGAAGTCATATAACGTCAAACTAATAACCGTTTTCACTTGGATTGTATGCATAGCTAGTGTTGTGCCCGTGTTTTATCACGCGTCCATATATCACGTGCCCAACACTGATATCAATCATTGTGACCTATTCTGGACGGGTCCGAGTCGTGAGCACTACATCTGGTTTACCATTATTTTGGCCTTTCTTTTACCAACTATTTTGAAGTTATTATTAGCAATACCCATCATATACCAACTGTCGGGCAGTGGTACCGTTGAATCCAATGGCCAATACTTACCATTTGCTGAACGCAACAAACGATCGGCACATTTGGTACTAACCGTAACATTGTTTCACATAGTCTTTTGGTTACCACTTTGGGTTAGCCTAATCAGTATAAACCTAATGCCGGTCACCGAACAACCCGACACGTCATCCATACTGTTTCATATGATCAGTGGCTGCATAGGTATGGTTAACACTGTAATCAATCCCATACTTTATATCAAATTAAGTCCCGACTTCCGCAATGGTTTGCATGACTTAATCACTTGCATACCGGAGAGCCTGTTAGCCAAAGATCCAGTAAATAATAGCGAAGTAATGAACGAAAGATCCAACAGAAATAGTGACACCAATAATATCACCAAATTTGAGTCAGCAATGGCTAACATCAACTAATTAATGAAATTAATTGTTCATCAAATGTATTAAATATAATTATTATCAAATCCATTACCATTTCTTGCATTAAACATCATATCATATTAAAATATTTTTGTAAAATATTGAATATAAAAGTTATTGTATTTTATAATTATTTTTTTTGTCAATATTATTAATAATAATTTTATTTCTATTATTTGTAAAATTATTATATAAAGTCTTTCTTTTATATTTTACATCTAAAGTTATATAACTTATAATTATTGCTTACATTTATAGAAATAGTTTTATAAATATTACTGTACTGTATATTAATATATTAATTTTAACAAAAGTTTACATAAATATATATTTAAATAAATTAACACTTATCTACAAGTATTAAGTATTATTGTTATTATTAAAAATATCTGAAGTTAAAAATTAAATATAATATTTCTACAATTATCTATATATATTTCCTGAATAAACTTTTTATTTTATATTAAAAAAAATAAAGTTTATACAAGATTTATGACCTAATAAAATGAGAGTGAATTGAAATAAAATAAAAATCAATAAATGTTAGGATTGAAATTCAAACAAATAGTATAATATTGTAATCAAATATTATTAAAACTATATATTTGTTTTCAATTCGCTTGAATCAACAAATCTTTTATAAATTTTTATTTTGTTGCTTATTATTGACACTATCAGTGAGTGAAAAATGACAAAATATATTTTGTTTATGAAAATAAATAAAAATATATTTTTTTGTTTATAATAAATTCAAATTCAATACATTTGATATAAAATTCAATGTTTATTCATACCCTATATATCCTAAATATTTTTGTTATTCATCATATATTTAGCTGACATTTTGGATAACCAGTACGGAAACTATTGAAATTACCTTAAAATAAAAATATTATTTATAGATTATATATACAGCATAAAAGTTACATAAAGTATATACAGTATATATATTTATATATATATTTATATATTTGTAAGTTTTATATACAGTAATATACTGTTCGTTAACATAAACTATTTTTATATTAATTTTAAATTTATACAGTAGTTTATAAGTTTATATATTGATATAATATATATTATATATTACAGTATGTACTGTACCTGCATATTTATGATATATTAATTTATATATAAAATAACTTATATATTTATAATTCAATTTGTTGCTAAAGTTGGTGTTATTTTTGTTTGTGTTGTTAGTAATATTGTTATTTTTCAACTACTATTAAGTAATTATCTTTTTAAATATACAAATGTTTATTTTACTAAATAGTAGTTTGAATATATTAGCAATTAATTATGATCTTTAGTTAGAAATATATATTTATATATTGATATAAATAGCATGATATACTATATATATAGGTTATATATATGTGTGTGTGTTTTAATATATTATAATGTAATACAGTATAATGGCAAATTAAAATTTTTATTATACTAAAAATAATAAAAAAAAATATTTAATTATGAATCATATTTAATATTATATATAATATTAATTTTGTAAACAATAAAATCTTTAAAATAATTATCAATTTATAAATAAATAAAACAAAAGAAATAATATTGATAATTAAGTTCACATGTTGATGTATTATATTTAATTACATAATACATTAAAAGTTACAATAAAATGTAATTAAATTGTTGTAATTGTTTGTTTTATTTTATAATTAATTATTATATTTATTGATAATAATCAAACCATACAATTCAATTGTACTCATTGTGACAAACTTATTACAACAAATGTATACAAACAAATTTTGGAAAAATTAGATTTACTGAAATCTATGAGTGTGTCTGTGTCTGTGTCTGTGACATCAGGAACATGGATAAAATGGCGGCCAAAGTATAAAAAGTGCTAACTTAAAATTTTGACTATGAATTCATATAGAGCTTTCAAATGTAGAATAAGTTTGCTTAAATAAGTTATCCTATATTGTCGTTAACATACTCTTAATTTGTCATATAATTAAAATTTGTTTTTGCAGATTTTGTGTGTGGCAATGCTTTCTAGATTCTCAACTTGTTTTATATGATAGCTATGATAAACTTGACAATTATTAATATATGTTTGAACTAAGAAATAATAATTTTCAAATATTATTAAATAAAAATACGAAAATTAATAGTTTATTGATATATAATTACAAATATATTTAATTTTTTGTGTAAAGAAACATTTATTTATATTAAATTGAATATAATTTGTAGAATAATTATTTCCTCAATAACAACAAAAATAAATTGAAATATTTTATTATCAGTTACAACAAAAATTAAGCATAAATTAATTATTTAAGTTAAATTGTAATATAAATAATTGAACTCATGTTTTGTAAATTTTTATACAATTACTAATGAATTGCATTTAATTAATAATTATATATTCATTTATTAATACTACAAGTATATAGAATATATATATATATATATATATATATATATATATATATTTATATTAATAGATTATACATTTAAATTAAATATTAAATAATTATAATTAGGGAATAATGTAAACTAAGGGAATAAAAATATTTTGTTTTTGTCGTTGATTTTGATGTATAAGAGTTGTAACACAAGGAACACAAAATGTATTCAAATTATTAAATATATAAAATTTTATGTATCTATAAATAATAAAATATATTATAATAATATTTATTTATAAATTTGTTTTATATCTTAATTTAAATATAGTTAAACCTGTTTTCTATAAGTTAAATATTAAATTTGCTGTAATACACCATTTAATGCTTTTAAATAATCATTTAATTCAACTAACATAATGAGTAAATTAATATATATTTACAAAATTTTTATCTACATTTATATAATTTAATTTACAATATATATATTATAGCATATTTTGGGATTGAATGTTAAGTGTATAAAAGTCGGGTTCAAATCAAACATAAGTTTTTTTATTATTCAATATATACTGTAAATGAAATGTTTTGTGGCGCAAAATAAGCTAAAAGTAAATGTAATATCAAAACAAATAAACGTAAAGTAAAATATGTATTGTAATAAAATTGAGTTTTTATTATATATATTAGTGGTGTAAGTTGAGCATAAAATCTATGTATTATCCCATTTTGTCCCGTTTGTACTGTTTCTGTATTTTAAACAAAAATGTCGTTTTGTCCTGTCCTGTCCCGTCTTGCAAAATATTGTCAAGGTTTATAGCATATAACATATAGTCAATTCATGCTATAATTTACTTTATTAAAAATAATTAATTATTAAAATAAATCAAATTAAAGAGCTAATAATATATTATTATATAATAAGTATATAATATTATAATGCCAGTGTCTAACAATAATTAACGTAAATTATTTGCGTTCTGTCCTGTCCTGTCCGTCTCATTCCTGTTTTGGAAAATTGTCTTCTTGTCCCGTCCTGTTCCTGTACAAGACCAAGATCCTGTTTTACACCTTTAATACATATTATGTATAAAAAAAGTAATTCATGAATTGTATTTTAAATGTGATATTTGACTCAATAAAGATTTTAAAATATGGATTCATTGCAATCTAATTTCGACAAAAAATCATAATTCAAACAAAACTAAAAGTACAATGATTTCATAAATAGATAGAAATTATTTTGTAAATTTCTAAAAATTAAAGTTAAGATTAGCTTAGGTTAGTCTATTATGATGACCAATATTGCCGTTTATCTACTATTAATTAGTTACACGAATGTAACTATATTTGTCCAAATTTTTCTATATATGTCTTTTCGTAAGTTATGATCGATAGTAAAATGCAAAAAATAGATAATTAAGTGCAACGTATCCCATAATATACTCAAAACTGTTTGTATTATAAATTGCTGATATTTAGTTAATTTAACAAATGTTATGTACAAGTATTTGCATAATTAGTAAAACAAATCAAATTTGCAAATACTTTTTAAAAAACTATAAACATACCTGGCTAATTAAATATAATTACCTTAATATAGAATAGACATCTAATAAATTGATGTTAAATTAAATCAGTTTAAATAAAATAAAAATTTTGCAATCAATGGAGCATTTAATAAAACCTTTACAACAAATTACTAAACAAATTGCATTTTACACGCAAATCGTTGTGATATTCAGTATAAAACCCAATTGATTGCACTGACAAACAAAATAACAAACAATTTAACTGATTTTCACAAACTAATCGATTGATGTGATGAGTATAGAGTCTATACTATAGACTATATACACTGTATAATGTATAGTATTGATCGCATCGATAGTAGATTTATATAGATTTACTGGTGTTAGAGGATCCCTGAGCTGCTCATTGAGGACACCAATGATTGTAAGAGAGATAGAGAGTTAAAAAGTGATAATTAAATTGACTCCAAATTCTTGTTACAAATTTTACTCACGAGTTGTTTGTATCAATTGAACGGACTGTTAATTAAATTTATTTTACTGATCACTGATTTTCATTGGACTCTCACTTTATTTAATTATGCAAATAATGAATTTAATATTATATTAGAAGTTAAGGTAATTCATGTGGGGTTTCAAAAGTATTTAATCAATATATTAGTTTAAAACTTCACTTTGTATTCAAGTGTCAAAATTTTATACCTTTAATCTAATTACAGTTATATTAGTTCTATAATCTATAATACTATATACTAAAAATCGTAAAATAAATAAATTTATATTATATAAGAATTTATAAATGTCTATTTTTATTACAGATTACTTTAATAATGTTTTATACAAAGTTTAAAACATTTATTAATAAAATAATTACACTACATAAAATATCTAAATTTAGCAAAATTATAATTTTTATATTTAATATAGTAAACTAAATTGTTTTGTAAAATGACAAATATATAACATATTTAATTTTAGTTACATTTGTAAAATTTTATATTATTTAAACAAAACATTATTTGAAAAAATATTTGGATAAAAAACTTTATAACCATAGTATGGATTTATAAAAATGTATTAATGAAAAAAAGATTTAAGCAATTATTGCTTTATTTATAACAAAACTTTTATTTGTTATATAAAGAATTTATATAAATATATTTAAATAACAGTTCAGTTATTATAAATATAATAATATTGGTAATAATAAACAAATACTTATTATATAATTTTTTTATTGACATTTATATTTTACCAAAAATTGATAAAATATAATAGTTTATAAATATATTAAATTAATTTTTATTTTTATTGTTATTTGTATTTATATATGAATAATATAGTATTCGTATTATAAAAATTAATAAATATTAATAATACAAAAGTTGCTAAACATCTTTTATTTAATTGAATAAATATACATATAAGATAAAATTAATATTACAAATTTTAATTTTAGATTTTAATACATGGAAAAAAATTTAAATGTAAAATGAGTCAGAAATGTTAGCATTAAATTTATTTTATATTAAAAACAGTAATTTGTTTAATTTAAAAAAGTTAATTATTTATTTTTTAACATTATAAAATATTATTTATTAACATATGAAATGCTTTATACTGTTAAAATTTTAAATAATTGTATAATAAATACAATATTGATTACATTATCTAATACTATGCCATTTTAGTGATTGGTTTGATTGCTCTCAGCAATCCTTATGTCAATATTTTGTAAAATATAACTTAAATTTATTGTCAAATACAGCATTAGCTGACAATTTTAGCAACAAATATACAAACATATAAGAGACAAATCAAATAAACATATTAATAAAGTTGGTATAAATAATCAAATATATAGTATAATATATAAATTTTATATACCTGTAAATAAGTTTAATATGATCTTATAATAGATTTTATTTTTTACAATAAATAATTAATTTATACTAATTTAGATAATTATAGTCTTAATATAGAGCTTATAATGTTTATAATAAATTGTGTTCTAAAGAATATTCTTTATGTAAATCTTAGCAAAAAAATATAATAAAAACTTATTTCATGATTATATGGTCTGAATTTGTGTATATGTTGTCACATGTGTTCAGGTGTTTTACTTCACATATTGTCTAATTCAATACAATTTACATAAAATTTACATTTGTTTAAATAAAAAACAATAAACTAAATATAGTAGATATACAGTTTAAATAAATATAAATGGGAAATTGTTAAAATTATTGTAAAGACATAATTTAATATAATATTTTCATATGGATTACTTTATTTTTTTAAAGTTAACTATATATTTATTTTTTTATAAAAGTGAAAAATATGAGAAATAAATTTACCAATTATATTATACCAAATACACTCATTGATATAGTGTTTATTTGTTGATAATTTATTTGTAAGAAAGTATAGTAAATGCTAAAAACTATTTCATCAATAGATTTGTTAAGATTCATGTGTTTGGCTGTGAAATGCTTTTGCGCCAAATCTTGCTTTTAATGCTTTCAAATATAACAACCGTTTGACTCAAACTTTATATGTCTATAATATAGTAGTGATTCAAATGAAAAGCTCACCTATTTTTGTCATTTTCTTTGACTATATATATATATATATATATATGAACTAAGTTTGCTTACAGTTTATTTGTTTGCTTCAATTGACTATTACTTAAATAGTAAATATTTTTTTTTAATTAATAAAAGATCAGTTTTGTCAAAATATTATTTGAATTATCTGTATTTGTTTGACATGTATTGCTATTTATTAAATAACAACTTTAATTTATTAATTCTGTGGTAAACTCTTTATGTAATAAATAAATTGAAACTATTATAAGCTTATATATATTATAATAAATATTTTTTGATTATATACTATTAATTTATCAACTAAATAATTTTTAAATAAAAATAATTAAAAATTACTATGAAACTTTATTTAATAAAGATAATTATTTATTTCTATGATCATATAAACTGAAAATATAATACTATAATATAATTATTATATTTTTATATAATCTAAACTCATTAAAGTTCATAAAAAATAAATAATAATATTTATTTAGTATAAAGAATATGTTGATAAAGAACTTTTAAAATAAATTGTTTTTTTTTATCAGAAAACGGTATTAAAATGTGTAATTAATCATCAAATCTATATTTAAAGAGATAAAGTAAGACAAAGGAGAGAGAGCTCAGGCATTGTGAGTGGTGTTTGAAAATGTCGAGCAATTATTCATCAAATGACTGTTCATCTTCTTCTTCTATCATATCTTGGATGGCCATCAATAAGGATAATATCACTGACAATATATCTCAAGTGAACGGCTCATCACAATATGTTTTAGACAAAAGAGATGAAAAATTGGCAATTCTTGAAATTGTTATTTTATCTGTAATACTAGTTCTCATAGTGTTTGGCAATTCATGTGTTTTAATAGCACTACAGTTACATAAAGTCAAGAGTAATCGTATGTATTATTTTTTACAGCAACTGAGTATCAGTGATATGATGACAGCCCTATTCAATGTGTTGCCCCAATTGGGATGGGAGATCACACAACGTTTTGTCGGTGGAAATATACTCTGCAAAACCATTAAATATTTACAGATTTTCGGCCCATACCTGTCTTCCTATGTATTGGTAATGATGGCTATAGACAGATATCAGGCTATATGTAACCCGTTGTCTAACTGCGGGTGGAAACCCAGTCGCGCCAAACGTATGATCAGAATAGCCTGGTTTGTGTCGTTAGTCTATTGTTTGCCACAAATTTTCATATTTTCCTATCAGGAAGTGCCCGACAATAATGGTGTCTATGATTGTTGGGGTAATTCTATATTTTTAATTAATTATTTTCTTCAAATAGTCTTTCTTAAACTTTTTATTAGACAATATTTAATATTATTATATTTACTTTATATTAAATTTTTGTTTATTTAATTATTAACAAAAATTATTCAGATCAAGATATAAAAAAAATAATTTTATAGTTTTTAAATTACATTTTATAAAATATAAATATTAATTAAAAAAATATATAATAAAATCTTATTTAAAAAACAGGTACATTTCATAAACCATTTGATGAACGGGTATACGTAACGTGGTATGCCGTCACTGTATTTATCATACCTTTTCTCATTTTAATTGTCACTCATTACTACATTTGTCGTGAGATTTGGTTAAATTTAAATAAAAAGCGCAAAAGTTTTAAAATATTGCACAAAACTCGCGGCAAACTATCCGCTAATACGACGACCAATACTTGTAATATAACTAAAATGGAGACCAATTTAGATGGAAATACTGATAATACATCTGATAGTCGTACGGATGAGCCATCAATTAGTGGTAAATTGTTTGTAACGACAACACCGACATCAATGAGAAAGTCGTATCGATTGAAATGTAGAGGCAATCGTCAGACCATACATAGGAATAGGGATTTTGCATACGATTTAAGTCCACGAACTCATTCACTACACGGCTTAAGTCGGGCTAAGATTAAGAGCGTTAAGATCACAGTTGTTGTCATACTTTGTTATATCATGTGTTCAATGCCTTTCATTTGTGTCCAATTGTGGGCCTATTGGGTGCCAAATGCACAACAATCACACTTCTGGAATGTTAAGTAACAATACATTTATTATTATATTTACTATATTTATACAGTTTATCAATGATCTGTTTGATTGTTATTATTAATATCTAATCTAATTATCCATTTATTACTACAATAATTACCAATTTATTACTTTTATATTTGATTGTATTAATAATATGTTTTGTTGAACTGTTATTTATCATTTTACTAACTCATTCAATGTCTAATACACTCAAATCAAATATAAAGTTTAGACACATAAATGTCTAGTAATTATACTATAAATTGAATTTTTACTCTAAAAAATAAACATAATTAACATTAAACTGAAGTAATACTAAATAAATTAAATAGCAAATCAAATTTTGTAATAAAATTATTAATTATTTATATTAAATATTTAATATATTATATTATTAATAAAATAAATTTTGATAATACACTGTAAACTATGGACATATTATTATAAACTAAAGAAAATCTCATTTATCAAAAGTTTTTTCAAACAAAATCAGTTTTTTTTAAATAATACTGTATTAGAGTGTATACTATACTATAGAGACTAAAACGATAAACATTTAGTGTTTAAATCCTAATTTTTAAATATAATTCTCCAAAAATCATAAATTATCCTAAATTTTTATATTCAAAAATTATAATTATATATTAAGTTATTATAATTAACTATATAATGTTAATAATATAATATACTTTAAAACAATATTTCTTAAATAATTATTATATAGTGTTATTAATATTGGTAGTAACTCAAGATTATAATATAATTTAAGTTGAAATATTATATTTTTCAAATTTTTATATATGAATATTTTAGCAAAATTTACACAATTAATAAAAATAATTTACTTTTTTAATATTTTCGTTTATAAAATATAGAAATTGATAAAAACAATTAATTTGATAAATGATTATATATTATTGAACTATAGTTAATCATTATTATAAATATTATTTATATAATCAATCTTTTATAATTTCTTATTATTAAAATAAATCAATAATAACTTATATAACAACTATTTTTATAATAACTAAGATTATTTAATGATATTAATAATTATATACAATATATCGTTATTTATAAAAAACTTATAAAAGATTTATAAATTCTTTCTGTATAATCCATAGTTAAAGTTAAATTTATTTTTTATATAAATAATATATTATTTGTGAACATTTGCAACATTTTGTAACAATCAAAATAAGTCTTAAACGTATAAAATAACCAAAAATTAAATAAATGTTTTTTTTGTGTAGATAATGATGTTTTACCACGAATTGTGTGTTAATAATTTAGTAATAAAAAAGAGAAAAATATGAAAATATTTGTTACATTTCTCAAAACAATTATTTGAATTGAGGCGTAAACTATAAATTATAATATTATATATAATGTAGAAATAAAATCAAAATTTTTATGTAAATTTTAATTATTTGAATAATCAAACATTGTTTTAGGATATTATGTTAGAAACACATATTTCAATATTTATTTTTAAATTAATTATATATATATATATATTGTAGAAACTGTGTCCAGTACTGGACAAACAATCGGCGATTACCGATAGAGACTATGTCTAGTACTGGATAATCACCCATAGATATGACATACATATGATTGGGAGTCCCAATCATGTGACGCAACAATATTATATACACTATTATAATATCATATTTAGAAAATAGTTATAAGATTTTAATTTCATAATATATTAATTAAAATACTTAAAAGTATCAATAAATAATGTATCAAATATTTAGACCCCTAATGACAAAAGTACTATAATTTTTAAAGAATTTTAAACGTTATTATATAATATTAATAAAATAAAATAAATAAATATTTAACATTAAAACATTTATCTTAAAAAGCATTAACTGTATGATTGTACTATATATGTGATTGATTTAGTGTGGAGTTAACAGACAATAACTATAGTGCAGTCAGTATTTATGAATAATGGCTTTATATGTTAATAAATTAATTCATCTTAGATTTGATAAAATCGTATTTAATTTTTTATTAAAATTAAAAACTATATTGAATTCATATATTATAATCATATGTTAAGTCAATGTTAAAATTTATATGTCATAACGTTTTGTTTGTATATTTTTTGTAATACAATTGTGTAGATGTATAACACTTATGCTTAACAGTGCTTTAGTTTCCAATTGATATATTTGCCTAAAATTACTTAATAAAAAACTCAATAATTTATTGTAGACATTACTGTATATTTGATTAATACAGTGTTTTAATAAGTTTAGTAATCAATGATTACTAATCATATTATTTACAATAAGTATTATTCAATCTCTCGAAGGTATTAATCAGTGATTTAGGTTTTATCATTTTTATCATTTTTATCATTTTTATCATTAGTGAAACACATATAATATCAACAAAAAAAGGTATAATTATAATATAAATTTATGGGTAATATTCTCACACAAAATTCAACATAACTCTGTTTGCTTAATAATTAATGAAATAATATAATAATCAAAAATAATAATTGATATGTCATAGGAAATAAAGTTGTAATTAATAATAATCTATCGATTTATAATTAATTTCCTGAAAATAATATATTATTTAATAGAAATATTATAGAATTTACTGAATTATATTAAATTCAATATTATATAATACATAAACATTTACTAAAAATATTATAACTCTTTAGAGCATAACATTAATGTATACTTTAGTATTAGTATAATCAGAAAACTGTACTTTACTTAACTTAACTACAGTATAAATACTGTACAGTACTGTATAAAGTTTATACAGTATTATAAAGAAATAATATTGATATTTATACAGTATTATAGATATTATACATCACTAGTGATTCACTAAAGTAATAATATTAATAGTGAATATAATTTTAAATATTTGCGATAAAAGAGAGCGCAATGTAAGCTATTCTGTGATTTGATCCGTTATTATATTATACCAGTATATCATAGTATCATACAATAGATGACAAACTAATGTTTAATAGGTTTAACAAAGTGTATGATTTTACAATAAATTCAATTCAAATAACTACAGTAAACATCAATTTTTATTTCTAATATTGTATTATCTATTAATATATATATCAAAATTCAAACATTCAAAAATAATTTAATATTTTAACAATTTAACTTTATATTTTTGAAATTATTTCAATACTTTTTCAATGGTTGAATTTAAAATTAATATTATTAATAAATAAAATTTTATAATAAAGTAACTATTGAATAGTTAGCCGGTACAAAAAATGTATTGTTGCCCCTAGAAGTTAACTTTTTAGTATTGAGTCAATAGATTCCACAAAAATACGTGTTTGTAGAAAGCGTTGCGAAAATATAACAAACAAACGGATAAATTATATAATAGTATAGATATATAATAATAATATAAAAATTAGTGAAACAATCAATTTATTAAAAATATAATATCATCATTAAAGTTAAATTATAATTGAAAATTTATAAATTAGAAATTTAGGATATAATATTAAGATATAAATTATTAAAATTATTTTCCAATAACAGGTCCGATGATTGCAATACTGATGCTTCTGCCGAGTCTTAATAGTTGTAAGAAATTTTCAAATTTTTATTATTTTGTTTAATATTATATTTATAAAGATAAATGTGATGTATTTGATACATATTATACAATACAATACAATAACAGTTTACTGTACAGTATTTAGTGATATATTACACAATACTGTACTATATTTTAATCCAAACGGAAAAGTTTTTAAATTCAATTACAAACTCTCAAATGGTATTAAAGTATTATGATATATAAGACAGCAATTTATTTGCTTTCAATAGGTGTTAATCCATGGATTTACCTCTACTTCAACCAGAATCTGGTGTCGGCTCTCACACACTGTCTGTCAGCCAAATCCATGTCCGACAGTCTCAACACAAATAACACCAAACGTTCGCCAATAGTCCGCCGTATAAATAGTGTGGTCGTCACTGATAGTAGTCATCGGCAACACACGGATCACATGATCAATGGATGTCATTCAAGACAGACAATGCTTTAGATAATAATAATAATAAAGTTCATTGTATTTATATAAAAATATTTTTAATTTATCTATTATTTATCTAATTTATCTATTGATATAAAATTTATTAAAATTGTACAGTTAATCATACCAACAATTTAAATTTATTTTTTATATTTTTTATTTATTATTTATGTTTTAAAAATTATTTATTTTAAATTTATATATTTAATTATAGTTTTAAAAAATATTTTGCAGTTTCAATAAAATATTTTATAAATAAAGATTTAATATTATTATAGTTTATATACCAATAAAGTGCTTAATAAAATAAATAAAATTGTATTTCAAATATAGCTTCATTAATAAATATTATATTTATATTTAAATATATATTTTTAGTATATTTTGAAATTCTTATAACTAAATTAAGAAATATTTGAAAAATAGAAATAACATACAAAACACACATAAAATAATAAAAAATAGATGTTATGATACAAAATTATGAATATTTGATATTATAATTTATAGTAATTCTATTGATAGTCAAGTATTAAATAAATATTTATTTTTTGTCAAATATTTAACAAGTGTTGAGAATATTCAACGATAATTTATATGATAATAAAAATTTTATAATTTGATATCATATATAAATATTTACATAAATAAAGCATTTTAACAATTTTTTAGTAAAATTCTTAAGCATTTATTTTTCTAATAATGCAAACAAATATAAATATTAGTAATATTAAGTATAATAACTGTTTGGCGTTATCAAGTATCATAATAGTGATAATAAGGTTGTGATTTTTCAATATCTTAAATATTTATAATTTATTCATTAATAGTAATAATAATATAAATTTATTAAAGATTTAAATGATTAGATATCACCATCAAATAATTTGAATATTTCAAGTTTTATACTATATATTAATCATCTAAATGACTATTATATGTGACATCACGTTTAGTTAGTTGTTATTAAAATAATATAAATAAATAAAATATACTAAATATTATTAAAGATATATTAAAGTATAGTATAATTAGATATTAATCCATATAATACTCAAAAAAATTATACAATACAACATTTATTATTAATAACTAGAGTATATTGTAAACAATACATATGACAGTCAATATTTAGAAAACTTTTTGTGAGATTTTTTTATATAGAGTTTAATTTATAATATACGGAATATTGTAGATAAACCCACACATACTCTACGTTTGACAGTATACTGTATACTGTATATGAGTACATACTGTTTCACTAATTCATCAAATATATTGTATATACAAAATCATATTATAGTTGTTTGTTAGTTGTCAGCTCTATTGATATAATATAATTATGATATGATGTGTATTTTTTTATATAATACTAGATATTGTAGTGTATTATAATTTATACAGAAATCATAATAAATACATTTGCTTTATTAGATTATATCAATAATTATATTCAATTATTGATAAATATACTAAATGTGGCAAACTTATGAAATATTATAAATATATAATAATTTCATGTTAAGTATAAAAATATAAGAATTTGTTATAATATAATTTATTTTTTAAAGATATATTTTTATTTATCTATAAAATATATAATATCTAAAAACATATATAATATAATATATATAATACTGTATAAATATATTATTATAATTGAATAATATTATTTTTTATTGAAAAATCTAATATTTATTATTTATTGCTAGCATACACTCTAAAAATATATTTATATTTTAAAAAATAAAAATATTAGTATTTACTATTTTTATATATTTTAAAAATTGTAACTCAACAATATCATATCATATTTGTTTATCATGTGTAATAAATAAACTATTAAAATAATAAATGAATTTTATTATTGTTAATGTTATTATAATTTATATAATATAATATATAAAATCAAATTTAAATTATATAAAATAATGTTTGTTAGTAATGAAAACTTATAAATCTAAAACAATATTAAAAGGTTTAATTATTTGTTTTACATTATAGATAAACAAAATCATTTATAGATTAGATGTGAACGTCATTATTAACATTATCATAAATCTAATTATAAACTTAATGTGTAATTGGGAATTAACATAACTGTATTAAAAAGATTGATTAAAATACTCATATAATTTTATTTTTTATCTATTTATTTAACATTTAATATATAAATATAATATAAACGTCTAAAATATATGAATCAATGATAAGCTCATACACTTCAAACTAAATGCATTATTGAATAAAAATGAGAATATTCTGTATTGATTTGCTTTCGGGGGTTTGTATTACACATACATAGGACGTAGCGGTCAAACCAATTGTAGGGCAAACCATTAATTCATAATAATTGTACTTTTGTTTTGTTGAGTTCAGCATTACATAAAAATTAGTATAAATATATTATATTCAATAGTTTCTTATAATATTATATATATTAATAATATTTAATTATAGCTATCTTTGGAGAGATTTTTTTATTAGATATATCAATTGATTAAATTTCAACAAAAAATACACTATTGAATGTGTAATCAATTTCATAGTCTATATAGTTTCTATGAGTAACTACTAAATTGTCATTAAGTACTGTATATACAATTCTCTATTGAATTCTGTTAATAATTAATTTATTTAATAAATATAAGTTTGTGTTTACATTCAAAATTACTTTACACTATACGGTAAGTCAATATAATGTACAATCAATGTATAAATTAATACATTTTTTAGGTTATGTTTATTTGAATTTTATTTTATTTATAAATTGGTGAAAACTAATATTTTTAATAGAAAGTTTTTAAATAAAGTTTCTAATATATAAATTAAATATATTAGAATATAAACAACATTACTTACATGAAATTTAATCTAATAAAAAAGTAATCCTATATTTTTACAGTTTTATAATTTATTTAATGTATTGTTAAAATAAAAATAATGATATAGTGAATAACAATTTAAATTTGAAATTTGTTAATTGAAAATAAATTATCAGTAAATATTTTATAAATTTATAATACATAATATCCTATATACAGTAACAAACTAAACAAAATATTTCTATATTCAAATAATTTTATAAAAATACAAAATAACTTTTGTATTCACATATAAATTAAATATTTATTTATCAACTAACATAGTATAATACCTCAAAATAATTTCAACCAAAGTTTAATTGTTCACACAATTAACATTAAAACATTGTTATTTATTTCATTTATAAAAAATTGAAAATGTTTAAAACGTTTATTTATATGTTAATTTTATTGAAAATTTTTAGACTTATATTTACTAAAACCTTTCTAAATTAAAAAAATATTTTTAGTAAATTTTTCTTTAATATTTGTTTAAAATAATTTATATATCTATTTTTATTCATTTATAATAAATTTAACTTGTCCTAAATTTAAAAGTGATAAATATTATTTTTTAGATATTACTTGAAAGTAAAAATTATTTTGGCATAAATAATTTAAAACTTTATACTTTTACTATATTTAGCACATATTTTCATTTATACTATATTATTGACATTAAATGTTAAATTATTAATGGGTCTTAAAAATAATTGATTTATAAATGTAACAATTAAATTAAAAATTAAAATATAAATTAGTCAGTTTTATTTTAAATGTTTTATTTTTTTATAGTAATCGTATAGACTTATAAAAATTTTATAAAAATTATTAATGATGTATTTTATATAATTTTATGTTTTAAATAATAAGAATTATACATCATTTGTATATATATAATTGTACTGTATATACAGTATTAATAAAATTATTATTATTTTTCCAAAATTATTTTTAATATTATTTATACTCATCTATAATAATATTTATTTTAAAAATAGAATATAAAGTATAGAATTACATACAATGATTTATGTATGAATATTATAACTAATATTTGTTTTCTCATACAAAACTTTACTGATTTGAACAATAATTTAATTTTGCATACAAAAAACATATTATATTAATATAATATTAACTTGAGATATAATTAGTACTATTAATGACAATCTAATGACAATTATATTTAATACAATTAGTGACAATAGTAAACGTGTAGAAACTCTCTAATTCAATAATAATTTTCTACAAATATATTCTTATTTAGGATAATTATTAATAATTTTTGATAATAATACATTTTTTTATCTAATAAATTAATCTTTTTTGCTAATTATATATATTGCAATATTTCTAAAATATTTTAATAAATAATATTAAAACTTGAAATATATTTATAATTTTAAAAATAAAGTAATAAAATGTTAATTATAAAATAATTTCAAGATAATCAATTATTATAATTATAAATTTATGATTTATATTAATAATTAACATTAAATAAAATTTAACATTTATTAATGCTATTTTTTACTTTAATTAATTAGTTAAATAATAAATCTTATATTATTAAATTTAGTAGTCAAATTTGTATTTTATCGATACGTTAAAACATTAAAATCTAAATTTAAAAATTTAAACTATTATTCAAATATTGATTTATATTCAAACATTTATATAATTATGCGATCTATTAAGTACTCAATTTTATTTATATTAATGTATTGATAAACAGATGTTTGCGTGATTTGTGAATAGTATAGACAATAATTTAATGATTTCTTTGGTATATATTATAATATAAACTTTGTATTTGAGTTTAAAATATTTTATATAATGTATATTAAGTCTTAATAATTTATTGATAAGAATTAAAAACAATTAGTATATAAAATTTTATCATACTTATATATTTTTTATTTCTAGTTTACTTAAATTAGATTTATTTGTTATTTTTATAAAATAAAATTTTATATACTTTTGTAAAATCAATAAATAATTCAAAGTTAAATTCAAAGTACAGTAACATTTGATAATAAAATTATTTATCTATTACTTTTCAATTATACATAAAAAACATGATTTTCATTTACATTCATAAAATTCAAATTCTTTATAAAAATTTATTAGCTTAGTGTTTATATTAGCTAATTATCATATTTTCTTAAAAATTAGCATATTTATTATTTAACTATAAATATAATTTACAATATTTGAAAAGTTAATAATCATTTATATTGATAGTAACTCTAATATTTTATTATTTACATTTTAAAAAGTATAAAATTTAGTGTCATTTGTTAGTGATGTGTATAATTTGTATTAATAATAACTTTTCATTAAAATATGTGACTTATTTTTAACGTTAAATAAATCAACTCTATTTTATACTATATTATATAAAATATACACTACTACTACTATATAGTATATACAGTATTATCAGAAAATATTAATATTAATAAATCTTTTAAAAATTTGCATAAATATTATAATTAGATAAAAGTTCTATAAGAATAATAATAATATAAAATATATAATAATAATAATAACAAATATTATTATAGATGTGATATTTGTATAAATTAATTCTAAAACAAATACATTGTTTGATAAAGAAAAACATTGTATAATACTATATATACAGTGATAATGATTACAAGTACTTATCCAAGAGCTTCCTTAACTGAATCACTTCATCACTTCATTGGATGATTATCTTAATGGCGTTGGAGTGTCTTTAGTATTGTCTATATATATAATAAATATACAGTATATATGATATATCTTATGTATTGCCCGCATCTTTACGGTATAATAGTATTATTAACTGTGAATATATGGACGCATGGCTCCTGTATATTATGGTTTATGTATTATAGACATACTCTCTCTCAATCTCTAAAGAGTCGCTTCACTATTCAATCACTATTGCATCCATTCATAAGATTAGTCGAGCTTTTAGTGCCAAATGTGACACAACTTTTATGTCTGTTTCGCATAATATTTAATATTAATAGAATATAACAAACAGTATTATATAAAATTTGATTTCAAAACTGTTCAAAAAAATAAATGTTATTTTAATTTTCATTATAAATATTTATTATCCATCAAATTATTATCAACATATAAAACTACATTATAATTCTATATACTGTAAACTGTATTTTTCTTTTAACAATTGAAAATCAATAGTAATATTTTCGAATATTTTTAATTAAATTAAATACTAGTGTTATCATTTACAATTTATATTTGTATATATTTTTATCTTATTTAATATTCAACTTTTTAAAAAATATTTTGTGTCAAATAAAATAAACTTAATTTTTATTATTAAAATTAATTTTATAAAAAGTTTATTATATAATAATTTTACAAATATTAATCTATTAATAATAATTATTATTATTCTAAGCACAAAAAAACTTAAAAAGCAATACTTTTTTACGGTAAGTTAACTTTGAGAAAATACAAGTTTGAAAATCAATTTTATCAAATCAAATGATAAAAGCAATATAATATTTTGTAATATAAGTATAAATATAATGTATTCAACAGAAAAAAATAAAATTATTCAGAATTTTGATGACCACTTAAAGTGAAGAAAAAAAGTACTTTTATCTTCACTCTCAACACTACTGTGACTCTCAATTCATTTATAATAAACAAACTATGGATTCATATTTCCAATCAATGGTCTCGAGTGACGACCAAATAGATAGTGAAGACTACGACAACACGACAAATATGATATCCACAAACAGCAGTTCCTCCAAAACAATTGACGACTCCAGGGATGAACACTTGGCTGTCTTCGAGATCGGAACGTTAGGTCTTTTGTTTGTACTCATAGTGTTTGGCAACTCTTGTGTATTGATTGCGTTAATTATGAGACGACTTAAGATTAACCGAATGTATTACTTTCTGTTGCATCTCATAATTGCCGACTATTTGGTAGCATTTTTCAATGTAATGCCACAACTAATTTGGGACATAACCTATAGGTTCAATGGTGGTAACATATTATGCAAAATAGTCAAATATCTACAAATTTTGGGACCCTATCTGTCTTCATATGTACTGGTGATGACATCAATCGATAGATACCAAGCAATTTGTTACCCACTGTCCAACTGTCAGTGGACACCCACTCGAAGTCAACTTATGATATCATTTGCATGGCTTATAGCATTGATCTGTTGCACACCTCAAGCATTTATCTTTAGTTATCAACAAATCCCGGGCACACAAGTATGGGACTGTTGGGGAACATTTCCGTTACAACCCTATGGGGAACGACTGTATGTGAGCTGGTATGCTATCAGCTTCTTCTTCATACCATTTATTATTTTAACGACAACCCATGTATGCATTTGTCGTGAAATTTGGCGCAATGTTCACCAAAAGAGCAAAAGTTTTAAAAGAGAACAAAACAAGATATACCATCAAAACGATGATTCAGACCATCTGTCCTCTGGATCGTCAACTAATGAATCAATTGGTAGATCAACTAATTTGTTAGTAACAGTTGGCCGTTCGTATCGCTTTAAAGGTCGCGGAAGAGTAGAGGTTTCGATTGAAAGGTCAACCAAATCTGGCGGCGGTTATAATCCTAGGAGTCATTCGTTGACAGGTCTGACCCGCGCTAAGATTAAAACCGTCAAAATCACAATTGTTGTGATCCTCTGTTACATTATATGTTCGTCGCCTTTCATTTGTGTCCAACTGTGGGCTTATTGGGTGCCAAACGCACAAACATCTTCATTTTGGAGCGGTATGTCTATGTCTGCCTGTTCTCTATAATTAACTTTATATATTACTTATAAACATTTAATTTATATTAGTTTTAATAATAATTATCATATTTCTACTAAAATATATTAATGCTTCAATTAAAATAATTAAAATTAATATAAAAAACACAATAAATTATATAAAAACAAATGATTTTTTTAATATTGAAAAATAATTAGTGGGAATAATTTGCAGATAAATGAACTAATATAATATGACACTAATGTACACTATTTTTGAATTATGTGTTCAACATATAATTTATTAATGTATAGATATTTGTAAAAGTTTTGCTTTTTACTGTTCATTACTATATATGTAATAACATGTCTGACAGTGTTATGTAAGATTGTAATACATTTACCTAACATTTGTTTACGCCATTCAAGTGATTGATTAATGTGTTTAGTAATGATTGCCAATAAATAAATGAATCGTTTAATGAACGACTGATAAACACGTGAAGCCCTTTTGCCAGCTATTATTGACTATAGTTTTGTTACTTTCACTTTGATTTACCAAATGAATCAAATTCTCTCTCTCTCTCTCTCTCTCTCTCTCTCTCTCTCTCTCTCTCTCTCTCTTTCTTTCTTTCTTTCAAAAAATGATTGTCAAATGTCTACTATTTATTCTTTTATGTATTCTTAATACTTTTCAGTATTGTTATGAATAGTATTTGATGTCAGATATCATTAATCATAACATTACTTATAAACTATTACAATATGTTTTATCGTAATTAAACTATTGTCACATCAAATACACAATTTTTATTTCAGTGATTACATTACTTCTACTTTTATTTATAATAATTTTTATTTTAGTTTTTTTGTTCATATATTTACCATATATTTTGACTGCGATTTTGACGCTATATATCATTATAACTATGAGTACACATCTGTATAATGTAATGAAATTCTCAACACTTTTTTTTGTTGATTTGTGTTTTTTGTTTCATACTCTGAATATTAATAAAAAAATAAAACATTTTGTAGGGAATAAAGATTTTGTTTAAATTTATATTTTATATCAAATCATTTTAATATCTGCATAAAAACCTAAAAATGAAGTTTTTATTATATTTCTAATTAAAATTAAAATACATTATATTTTTTAAATAATAAAATAGAATAAAAAATAAGTTCAAAATTCGTTTGAAAAAAATCTTTTATTTATATTGTAGTTTAGTATAAGATTATTAAAAGCTTATTATATTATGTTTATTATAAAATAACTATTTATAATATTAATTTTTATGAAAATTATAATAGATATTAAATTGTTATTTTAATTGATATAAATTTAATTAAAAAATAGTAATTATTACTATTTAATTTTATTTCATTGATAATTTATAAAAAAAATCTATATCAGTATTATAAGTAATTGTAATTAAATGGTTATTATTAAAATACAATAACAATGTTAGAGTATTTTTATGAATGAATTAACTAAAGATTTATATGTAAATGCTCTCTTTTTATGTAAAATAAACATAAATAATAATAAAATTTTATTATTATATGTACTGTCTTTTATATAAAAACAATTAGTTTATAAATAATATAATGTGTTATTACATTATTTAAATTACATCGTACTATAAAATAAATGATTTATATAAGCATGAAATCTGGTTATTAATATTTAATCATAAAATAAATATCTTGTATACTATTTGTTCAATTTATATAATGTGATTTTCAATACTAGAATTACATTAATATTTAACTAAAGATAACAAAGTTATAGATAATAATAAGTTAATTATACAAATTAAAAGTTTAATTTTTTACTTTTATAATTTATTTTGTAGACAATACTTGTATTTTAAATTGAAAATATTTATATTTAATATCTTTATATAGTATTAATTATTTTGCTTATTTCATATTAAAATATTACAACTTTAAATTAATAATTAAAATTTAATGCAATAATGAATTTTTATAATTGAAAAATACTGTAAATATATAAGAAAAATACAATAGGTTTTTAAAAACATTTATACTTTGCATTAAATATATAATAATGTTATATAATAAGCAATAAACTATATTATATTTTTATATTTATATTAATACAATATAAAAAAATATATTAAGCTTTGAATTATTTTTCAATCCAATTTTGATTGAACTATTATATCCCTAAATAAATTATCAACACATTTAAACTAAAAATAACAAGATTTATCACAAAAATTCAGTAAATAAAGTAAATAAAATCATTTAATATAATTTTAAAAATTTAAGCAATTGAAAATAGTTATCATTACAAATTTTAATAATTGCTTATACATATGTATTGAACAAATAAAATAAGTAGTTATTATTGTTTTTATTGAACGAAAATGTATGTTTTATAATAATAATTATAAATAATTCAAAAATATAACAAAAATAAAACAACAAAAACAACTTATATTACTTCCACTTCAATAAATGCAACAATAATTAAGTTATTAAATATTAAAATGCCATTAGGTTTTATGTATATAATGCTGTTTTTATTTATATGCAATTTTATGTACTATTTATTATTTTAGTTTTATAAACACAATTTAAGCTTTATTAATAGTACTACTCATATGAAAATGTTTTTATCAAATTGGTATAATATATTGAAATTCTATATATTGAAAAAAATATAATATTTATAATTTGATTATTGAAGTTAAAATATTAATATATAATTTGAATTATTAAAGTATTTTTTAAAACTTACTAAATACTTATAATTAAGATAATTTAAATGAATAACAAATGTTTTTAAAATACTAAAAATCAATATATATATATATACATTAATACATGTATATATTAATATATTTAATATATAAATTAAATAATTTTTATTTATTTGATTCTATTTGAAAAACAAAATGTGAATAAAAACTAATATGAATATGAATAAGCTTGTTTTATTAATACTATCAAATATTTTATTTATTATTTTTTGTCACCATTTATTTATTTAGATTATGCTTTTTAAAAAAAAAATCAATTTTTTAAAAATAAATTTATATTTTTTGTTTACTACTCAATTTTTAAGTAAGTAAATTTCGTAAAATCACCTAGGTAGATTTCCATAGTGATATTTTTTAGAAATTTAATAAAACGCTTTTATAGATGTTTAAAAATTTATATAAAATATATTTTTCTGATTTGTTTGTCTGTTATATAATTTAATTTGATAATTATAATGCAATTATAAAAATTTTTATATTCAAACATTAATTATTATATGAAATTAAAACTATAAATTGTTTAATTTTATTAATATTACTTTAACTTAAACAAAATGACTGTATCTTATTATAGAAAATTTATATTTCAAACTTAATAAATGAATTTTTGCAAAAAATTTATTAGAAATGGCACAATACTGTATAAGATATTAAGATTAAAAGATTAAAATTTACACTAAAAATGTTTATAAGATTTTACAATTTTTGAGTGACAATATTTTCAATAGATAAATATAAAATATTTTTTAATTTATAGAATGTTGAAAAATATATTATTGTAAAAATATTTTAATAAAAACTATAATAAATATAACTTTTAATAAATCATTTGAATGTTTTTAATGAATTATAATAACTTTTACTTTAAATTAAAAATATCAGCAACTTATTTATAATAATTGATATAATAAATTACATAAACTATATTTAGATAATTTATTTAAATAATAAAAAACTTAATGCTTAATATTAGTTATGTTAATATTAATCACTAAAATAAACAAACTAATTAATTATATTAATTTTTATTCTGTTAATAAGACTGTAAATATTAAAAATTACTAAATTATAATTTTTCATTTTTATTTGCTTGTAATTGATTTACAAAAAAATGTAATTAATTGTTGACCTTTCATAACTGAATTTTATCGCTTTAGAAAATTTAAGCTTAATTGACATATAACTTAATTATTGAAATAGTGAAATAAAAAAATAAACAAATTTGTTATATTATCACATATCGTAGAATACTATATAAGTTTGTTATAAAATTTTGATAAAATGACTTGTAATTAAACAACAAATTAGTTAATTAATAAATATACTAATTAATACTTTTAATTAAAAAAAAATATTTTAAATAATTTATGAGAAAAAGAAATTTCTTAATAGACTAACATTTAGTAATCTCTGGTAAATTCCCGCAAATTTCTATAATAATAATTACAGTTTTAACTAATTAAATCTTAAAGACATCAATAATATCATTGAACTTTATTATTGATTGGTTCACATAATTCAAATAATAATATATTTATTATTAAAATTTAATAATTTTTTTAAGATTAAATTTTAGTATTAATACACTATTGTAATCAAATAATACCAATAGAGAATGCTATAAAGCATTGCCAAAAACAAACTTTAATTACATAAATAACTCATTATAAATAATTAAATACATCATATATGCATAACTAAAATTAAATAGTTCTTATAAATCATTTTATTAAAAATAATTTGTTAACCTAACCCATTAATTAATGATTAAATATTTATTGTTACTTATAATTAGTTATATTATAAATTGAATATTTCGGTTGCCTTTTAAATGTCTGATAATATGAAACGACTGCACAACTCGAGTGCTGGCAAAAGACTCTTCTCTGAGTCGTACTTCAGGTCTCACTTCTATGAGTCTTCATTATCGGCTCTCAATCAGGAATGACATCATTTCAAATAAAACGATTAATATATTAAAACTTCCCATAAATGTAAATACTTTCTCAATATGACTATCGCTTGACATAGAATTAATGAAATACTAATATTAACAAAGTTTGATATATGAATATGAAAAATATCTATTGTATGAATAATACTCATATTGTTTGTAATATCTTTCTGCAATTGTTTGTAATAATAATTATATTGAATAAATGAAAAATCCTTTACATATATAACTACAGACAATCTTATTCTATATTTTTAGTGAATCTAAAGTTATT